CATCACCTATCTCATTCTCTTCTTGGTCTCCAGAACACCAAGCTGGAGGCTGCCGTGACCCAGTCCGAGCAGCAGGGTGAGGCAGCCCTCACTGATGCCCGCAGTAAGCTGACTGAGCTGGAGGCCGCCCTGCAGAAGGCCAAGCAGGACATGGCCTGCCTGCTCAAGGAGTACCAGGAGGTGATGAACTCCAAGCTGGGTCTGGACATCGAGATCGCCACCTACAGGCGCCTGCTGGAGGGCGAGGAGCACAGGTGGGTTCCTTTCAGGGGTTCTCAGATCCCATCTTGGCTGAGCAATAGCCAAGCTCTGGGAATCTCATTGACCCTCGGAGGTGGGTTCATAGTGGGCATTGTTTTAATTGACTTTCTGAGGCTAATTCTCTGTCACGTGGAGAAAGGTTTGGGGGAGATGTTTGCCATTGTTCTGGTCACTAGCTTCTGCTCTCTTGTCTTCCCTCAGACTATGCGAAGGTGTCGGGTCTCTGAATGTCTGTAAGTATTTGATGACTTATGTGGACAGATTTATTCCCAGTGATAGCAGGCTGAGTAATTTATTTCCATGAGAGCTAAATGGGAAGCTGCCTTCCCAGCAGGAGGGCCTTGGGGTCAGAAGACGCCCCCAAAGACCTCCCCCTTTAAGTTTAGATGGACCTAGAATCTTCACCTGAAGAGGCCCAGGGCCAGGGAAGGAGGTCCTTAGGAAATCAGGAGACTTTCCCCAGCCACCACCTCTCCTTTGGCCTCTGACTTGTTGTTCGTGGTCCTCAGGTGTCAGCAGCTCGCGTGGCGGAGTGGTGTCCGGAGACCTGTGTGTGTCCGGCTCGCGGCCGGTTACCGGCAGCGTCTGCAGCGCCCCGTCCAGTGGGAACGTGGCCGTAAGCACCGGCCTGTGCGGTCCCTGCGGCTCTGCGGTGTCCAGCCGTGTGGGCACTGGCGGAGTGGCCTCTCGCTGCATCAGCTCTTTTGGCGTGGGTTCCTGTGCCAGCAGCTGCCGGAAATGTTAGGCGGTGCATTCACCCCTGGCCTTGGGTATGGCTTTCCTCCCGTTTGAGCCAGCTCTGGCTGCCCAGAGTTGGGACCTGGAGGCTCAGTCAACCACTTGTGCACTTTAAAGAGTCCTTCCACTTCCGGCTCCTCTCGTCTCCCTGGGTGATCCCTTGCTCTTGGATACCAATACTGGCACGGGCTTCTAGAAGTCCCTTTGGAGCTGCAGGGTCAGGGCTCCAGTCTGAGGGCTAGGAAGGGATCCTGGGTTGCCTTAGAGCCACCGCCTGCCCCTTCCTCTCTTATATGTCTTGCTCTATATTTCCAATAAATCAATTTAGTCAGCTCTGGGCCTTGTCTGTGTCTCTGTTAACTTCCTAAGGGGCTGGGGTTCAAGAGGATCTCCAACACCACTTGGAACCCAGGGCAGCACAGGCCTGGGGCTTCCAGCTGTTCTCTGTAATCTCAGACCTGGCTGAGGCTGGTGCTAGGCCCACAGACAGTGCATTTTTACCCACAGTACGGTAAGGCACATCTGGAAGGTGGAGGAAAGCAGCCCACAGGGACACTCAGCGACTAGGGCAAGGCCTGTCCCTTGGCTCAGGAGTTCACTTTGGTTTCTATGTGAGTCTCTGGTGCTCGTTTCACTAAACCACCACTGCCTCCCAGGTAACAGCCTGAGCACATTTGTAAACGATGGTAATGTGGGCTCTATTCTCCAGTGCCTGGAAGCTTAAAGAAGCATCACTCATTGCTGGGTGGGGAGGACTCATGCCTGAGCAATTTACTGCAATTCCTAAAGGGGTGGGTACACGAACATGATGTAAAGTGTCCAAAAGCTTTTGACTTTGCTTTCTTCTCTCAACGGCGTCCCCTTGGGGTTTGGAGGCCTGCACAGGGACTGCTGCCTTGCCTCAGAGATCGCAAGCAGCACCTGGCAAGATGACTGAGGGTGCTCTGTCTCCCCATTTCTGCCTGTTTGCACATCTCTAAGTTAATGATGACAAAAAGGGGCCCTGGTTCAGGGTCCATGGGAGAGATAGACAATTTCATAGATGCACAATACCCAGGCAGAACTTGCCACAGGCAATCACTATCTGCATTTATCAACAGTATTTTTCTTTTTACAGAATGTAAAACATCTCCATGAGGCATGGCCATGGCCTGCCTCTTATTACACTAGTATCCATGATCAGAAATCACAAGCAGAGAGATAAATGTTTATGTCTCCAGGGCCACCAAGCTCCTTAATGCAGGGAAGGGTTCATGTGTGAGGATCCTACACAGCTTCACTATAATCCAAAGTCATCTTTATAGCAGGGTGAATCTCTAAACTTCTATGCCCAGGCTCAGAAGACGTAGTAGAAATGGAAGCCCTACAATAAAGACCACTGAGAGTCCAGAAGAGAATGTTCTGAACAAAGGCCAAGTTGAGCCAATGTCACCCCACCATCTCTAATGGAATTCTGAGCAGGACAGATCCCTGGAGAGTTCCAGAGTGTGTGATTCTTCTCACCAGCCCAATGTGCTGGGACACTGCATGGCTGAGAAGCAGGGCCTGTGTCAAGACCCTAGTTCTAAGGCCCAAGCTGCAGTTCTTCCATTCAGAATACTGGATCAAGTTCCAGTTTTGATGGGTCACCTCTCTGCCAGCTGACCCTCCCTGCCAGTGTCACTGCTGTCAATCCACCTGGGCCTTGATGGCCTACTGGCCTGCCATGCTGACAGTCTTTCATCTTGCTGAGCCCTGACGCTCTCCCTCCTTCATACTCCAGCTGGACAACTCTCGTATCCCTCAAGCCTTGGGGATTTGTGAGAACACACATGAGTGCAGTGTAGGAATGTGAGCAGACCTTGCATGTAATGGTTCAACTTGACTGGATCTGAGAATCAGCTAAGAGACATGCTTCCTGGTGGGTCTCTGAGGATATTATCTTGAATCTATCTCTTAACTGAGAAGGAAGACCCTCCCCTAGAGAGGACAGTACCTTCCGGTAGTGGCTCTGACATAAAGAGCTCAGGGCTGCTTTTGCCTGACTGCCTTCACTCCTTGCTGGTGAGTGCATCAATCCTGTTGTTGCTGCTGCTGCTGCCATCCTTTGCTGACATCAACCCAGCTTCTTTAGTCTTCCAGTGTAGTGACTCTCCAGGAATTCTCTAGGCCTTCAGTACCAGATTGAGACTACTGAAGTACCCAGTGTCGTGGACTGAGCAAATAAGAGGTTTTCAGTCTCTCCAGTGTAAAGAAAGTCATTGTTGGACTACCCGCCCTGTGACGTGTAGGCCAATCTAATAAATATCCTTTGTAATATAGATTCATTCTATGGATTTTGTTCCTCCAGAGAACCCTAATATACCACATGTGCTGATCAGGTAGGTGTCACAGGAGGAGACAGGGTCTCAACTGGGCATGGTGATGGGCAGGTACTGTTGGGTACCATACTGGGGAAGAGTCTCTCTGACCAGGGTACCCTTGTTGTTCTAACCCGTAGACTCATCTATCTGTTGCTTCTACTAACTGCAACCAGGGCAGAAGATCAGTTAACCTTAAACTTTAAACAGCCTTCTTTAAAGGTATTCTAAACACTCCCAAAAGACTCATATGCATCTTGGGGCAGAGTACATGCTTTGTGCACACAAGGCTCTGGGTCTGATCTCCAGCACCACAATAAATATAAACACTAAAATGACTTCCAAAGGATTATGTAGAATGAGACATACTAGTGGTGGGAGAAAGGCCCAATATATTCCAGGACAGGCAGATCAACCTGGACTATAAGATCTGTTCACAAAGACTATGTGGTGAGCCCTAGAAACAGAAGAATGAGATAGTTACTGTCCTCAGAAAGCTCAAATAGGGATGTGAGCTCAGCTCATTTAGCATCTGGCATATCTGAGTGCTATGAAGTTTGAGGCAGGAATGTGGCAGGTGTGTGGAGCAAGAAAGGCCATCTTTATGAATGGTCCTCTGGCCGTAGCAAGAGAAGGCCATCTTTATGAATGGTCCTCTGGCCGTAGCAAGAGAAAGCCATCTTTATGAATGGTCCTCTGGCCGTAGCAACAGAAGGCCGTCTTTATGAATGGTCCTCTGGCCATAGCAACAGAAGTTCCTGAGGAGTCGCCCTATTAGGGACTCAGGTATGGCTGGGATCTTGACTTTATGCACAGAAAAGAATTTCAGGACAAATCAGTATGAGTAGAGTTGTTTTATTAAGAGGGGAGAGAGAGAGAGAGAGAGAGAGAGAGAGAGAGAGAGAGAGATCTAAATATCTTTAGTGTGTATGTGTGTGTGTATGTGTGAGAGAGAGATTTTGTGGTTCTTAAAAATCACATTGCTCAAAGGATATAATTTACAACCAGGATGAAAGATTAAACAAAGTTTAAAATTTAAGTAAAGTTTAAATTTTAAATAAAAGATCTATTAGCTGGTTTGTCTATTTCTCTTGTAAAGAATTCCCTTTTGTCAATGAAACCAGCAGTGGTTTATGAGATTCATTGTCCAGGTTTAGAATAAGATACACACCCATGAAAATGGACTCGTATGTTTACAAGTCACATATGTTTAGCCTTGAGCAAGCACGGTCCATTTGTTGTTTTAAATGTTTAGATTATCTCTCAAAAAAGGGTTCTTGTCTCTGTAGGCAATCTTCCCTGGTTTTGTTAATGAGTTAAAATTCTTGACTCAGCCAATGACACACATAAACTCAGTGCTGGGGTGAGGGACTTTTCCCTTCTCGTGACCCTTAATTTCCCCGTCTTTCTGGGGTGAGGGACTGTTCCCTTCTCATGACCCTTAATTTCCCCGTCTTTCTGTCCTGCCACATCCTTGTAATGAGAAGCAATGACTGAACTGGTGACAGTCCTCCTCCCTTCAGAAGTCACCTCGACTCAGAGTGAATGACTCCCCATAAAGGTACCAGACAGGTCTCTCCCACCCCACACTGGAATGTGGTCCATGGCCAGGGGAACGTCTCAGAGAATGGGTCCTCAAACCACAGACATCCCGGTGACCCATGTGGCCCTGACCCAGAAAAATATTCCAACCTGACCCCAAGTTCCTGGAAACTCTGGACAGACAACAGGCAAATCAAGGCTTGGGGCTTGGAAAGGGAATGTGGACAGCCAGTCTCCAAGGATTGCAGAATACTGCTGACCTGAGAAATTTGTAAGTGCCTCTCTCAGAATTTCCCTTATTGGCATGCTCACTGCAGTAGAAGCTGCAAAAACTGACCTTGAAAATCACTTTTTATTGCCTCCTAGCAGAATTCAAGGGACAGGGAGCAAGACTCTGGAAGCTAGCAGATGGAAACTGCACTCTTAGGCAGCTTGGGAACTAATTTTAAGAACAGATGGGGCTGATGCAAGCCCAACAGGGCCATGTGCTCTTTGCCTCAGGTGGATGGCCACCTGCCAGTCAAGTTTCAATCCCATTCCTTTTCCATGAGATGGTCATATTTACCTAGGAAAGGGGCCTTTTGGATACCTGTTCCTCAGGTGCGGAAGCAGGAAAGCACAGCAGACACTCTGGCACTCTAGTGCCTTAAAAGGCAAAGCTAGGGCCTCTGACTAATGACGCATTTATGCCCCACCCAGGAACATGGAAAACAGGAATTATTGTTCCCAAGACACACTGATGATGTAATCCTTTGTGCAACTGAAAAGAATGTGAACTCACTGAGCAGATGCTGCTCTCCAGCCTGTGACAAACAAGAGCCCAGAAAGACAGCCTTACAAGGCCCTGGGATCAGTCCTCAACACGGGAACAAGAAGCCTTAATAGAGGCAAGGAGTGATGTGGGTACAGTCTCCTCCACCCCTCTGCCAGGAGGACTGGCTGTGGAGCAAGGCCCAGTGCCCTCTACAGGATTTCCCCTTTCTCTCACTCTTTGCACCCTACAACTCACCCTCCCCATCTTAAAGGTCCTAGTTCTATTAGGTAAAGTCACCTTGGACCCATACACCACCAGAGTCGTTCCTGGTAAAGCTGGCTGAGGCTGACGTAGACTGGGTATCTGCTGTGGGGTGGCCAGAACCCAGGTTCAGTCAGGCTGGCGGCTCAACCACTGTAGAACTTTTTATTGCAAAGGGGGCGTTCCTGGAAAAGACGGGTGGGGCAGGTCGGAGAGGCTGGGTGCAGGGTCCAGGTAAGCCTACGGATGACACCAGCGTCTCGTCTGTATCTGCTCTGTCACGGGTCTGAAAGCTACTCTCTTTAGTTCCAGGTGAGGGGCAAGCGGGAGCGATTAGGTGAGGGCAATCTCTGTGGTGAGGGAGTCTGAGACAAGAGGGTCAAGTCTTTGGAACAGAAGCACCGGTTTCCAGTTTTCGGGGAAGGGAGGGGTTCAACATTCACTGAAGTCCCCGACACAGTCCGCGGAGCCGCAGAGCGCGCACCTGCCGCCGGGGGCGCTCGCGTCCAGGCAACGAGAACAGTCTCCAGGCGGCGCCAGCAGGCAGGCAGAGACAGAGGCCAGGCCTGGCCCTCCAGAGGCATCACTGCCTGGGGCTGCGTGGAGAGCAAGGTGACACGTAAGACAGTGAGACCAAAGGAAGAAAAGACGCAAAGAAGCCCTCCAGCCCCACACCTGCCAGAGAGGCAGATAGACAGACTTCCACAGGAGGCAGATATACACCCTCCCTAGTACCAATCAGGTATGCCTGTCCCACCAAAGGAGTAGATGCATTGTCCTCTCCCAGAATACACACAGGGACTCACCCCCAAGACAAGAAACACGCCCCCCCCCAAACCGGGAGTTGCACAGCAACAAAGTTCTGTGTTCTAAGGGGAATGGAAGCATTGGGGGGAAGGGTGACAGAAGATCTCACCTGTGCCCAAGTCACTTACCCATGCTCCCTGCCCCCAATCCCAGACCAAGCCTGTGGGGAGAAATAACAGTTCAGTGAATCCACCTACTAGTTTTGTTACTCTCTCTTCTCCAAGACAGGCACCCCTGATCCCTACACCCCTAGGCCAGCCCAGAGCCTTCCAGCTTACAAGCACCTTGGGTCTGTGATTCTCACGGTCCTTTGAGTCAAATTCTTCTAGACTTTTAAACTCGGTCTCTCCTGCCTTGATTCAAATATGATCTTCTGATAATTTCTTGAAGGAGGGAGAAGGGAAAAAAACCTACCCTTTCTTTGGCCTAACCTGATCTTGGCTAATGAGACCAGGAAGGCACAAGCTAAGCTTCTAAAAGAAAAAGCAATTAGGAGACAGCTCAGTTATCTGAGGAACGTTGTTCAAGCTCACCCAGTCACTTTCTACCAGTGTGTCCTTGAAGGTGACATATACCTACTGGTCTATAATATGGGATGATAGCTGTGTGGTCTCCCAACCCTGGACTTCAGGTGTGTCTGCACATAGCAACCATTCAGGCCACTACTCTCTGAGCCTAGTGTATCAGCTCAAACAGCTGCCCTTGGATTCCTATTGCTGTCTATGATAAAAAGCCAAACCCCGTTTGTTCATTTAATTCTGCATCCCCAGCCTTAGAGAGAGGTCAGAGAAGACATTTCACACTGAGGACCTTGTTCCCACTGGTCTAGCCTTTGCTCCTGCACTGTCTCTCTGTCTTGATAAGACAAATGGCCCCTGCTGTCTGACACTGACTTAGTGCTAAGCATACTCATTAACTGGACCTTTCTGTTCAAAGAGCTGAAAGAGTATGAAGAGACTGGCTGGAGCAAAAGACAAGGCCTGACACCCGGGAATCACTCCACCCTCCCCACCTGCCTTCTGCTCCTCCGCTGGGTGTTCCCACTGCCTCACCTCTGCTCTTCGCCCTCCAACAGCCTGCGGTAGGCGGCGATCTCCAAATCCAGACCCAGCTTGACAGTCATGAGCTCCTGGTACTCACACAGCTGCCGTGCCATGGCCTGCTTGGCCTGCTTCAGGGCAGCCTCCAGCCAAGCCAGCTTGCCCTTGGCACTACCTGAGGCCACGTCCTCCTGTAGAACCTCCAGGTCTTTGACTTTCTCTAGTTCACAGGGCTGGGGATTCAGGAAAGATCAGGGATAGAAAGATATCCTTGACCCTCCTGCCTCAAGGTTCCAGATTTTTCTGAAAGGCTTGGAGCCAGTGAGAGCCTAGATATGGTCCAGGGTCAGGAAGACGAACAGGCTTGCTCTGAAATTTGTGCACTTCTGTATCTATACTGTCAGGTAAAAGAACCCGCCCACCGCTATGCAGTGGACACTGCGGGCAGCCATCCTGAATGCTAAGAACCTTTTGTGTCTGGCACAGTGGCATTCCTCATATGAGCTATGATTAGGGAAGCATTAAATGTTCTTATTGAGAAAACTGAGGTTAGCACTTCACAATAAATAAACAAGGACCAGGTCTGGAGGTGCAAACCTTATAATGCCAGCTAAGGCTGAGGACAGGAGGATCAAAAGTTCAAGGCCTGCATGGGCTACAGAGAGTTCAAGGCTAATTTAGGAACTTTATAGAGACCTTGTATCACAATAAAAAAGCATAGATGGTTGGAGGTGTAGCTCAGTAGTAAAGTATTTACCTAGTATGAGTGGCTCTGGGTTCCATCCCCAGTACCATCAAAAAGCCCCCAAAACAAAAACAAAAACTAGACATGAACAGAAAGACTCCTCCTCGATAGAACTCTACAGTGTGTGTCTCTGGAAACAGTATTAATAACATTGATCTTGGTAAGGGGACCTGCTGCTTGGACAATCAGAGCAACTGAGGCTGGTGTGAGACTGAACCACCAGGGGTCTGCCTCTCCTCTCTGCTACCACTGGAACTTCAGATGGCCCATCCCCTTCAAAGTCGCCAGTTCTTGAAAAAGGGACACCCCCCAACAACCATGAATACTCCTCTAGCCTGAGACAGGTGCGTCTATAGAAAACAAGACAAAATTAGGAACAGAAGCCCTGGGTGGGGGCATGGAATAAGCCAGAGGGATTTCCCAGAACTGAGGAGCCTGGAGGGGAGGGAGGAGGCTGAGCAAAAGGTGTCTCTTCCTCTGAAGCCTGATCCTGAGTCACAAACATCTTCAAGGCCTGCCTGGGGGAAGTCTCCAAGGCGAAAGTCAAAGGTTAAACACACAATGTCCTGTTCCCAGAGGGACCTGGGCTCTGCCACCCGCCTGAAATGGCCAGGACCTCCTGCATGCTTCCGGTTTTTTGTTTCTCTAGAGGGATGGAGGCAGCCTCTCTTCTACAGGACAGTAACAGTGCAGTCAGGGCTGTGAGAGCTGACAAAGAACCCAAGGTATGAATGGGTGCAGTTGGGAGTTGTAGAGACTGCCACTCACCAGAAAGCTCATGCCCACCCACCAAGAAGCTTGTGCCCTTAGGAGGAGGAGGAGGAGACAGGGATCTGTCTTCTGCAGCCAGATGTCATCGTGGGATCAGAGTTTGGCACTGTCGGTCCAGATGTCATCGTGGGATCAGAGTTCGGTGCCGTCGGTCCAGATGTCATCGTGGGATCAGAGTTTGGTGCTGTTGGTCCTTCACGTTTGTTTTGGTTTATTCCTTTGTGTTGCTGTTTCTTGTGTGTCCTGTTTTTGTTTTGAAATGAGATGCTATTCTGTGGCAGAGATTAGCCTGGACCTCACTGCGTAGCTGAGGATGACCTCAAGCTGGAAATTCTCCTGCCTCAACCTCCTAATACTAAGATTATAGATATGAGCCATCTCACCCCCAGCTCTGTTTTGGTTTCTTTCAGTGCAGGTGATAACACCCAGGGCTTTGGACATGCTATGCAAGCATCCTACCAGTGAGCTATAGCCCCAGCCCTTTGTTTTTAGAGACAGATTATCATAAGCCATGTAAATCAGGCTGACCTTGAATTTACTATATAGCCCAGTGGCCTGAAACTGCAGATCCTCCTGCCTCATCCTTCCAGGAGGTGGGGTTACAGATGGGTGTCATCACATCCACCTTGATTTTCATGTGTTTAAGGAACCTAGAAAACTAGATTTCTGATACAATCTTGCAATATTGAAGATGTGTTCAAAATTACTGCTAAAGCTAAAAAAATCTCACAGGGACATGAAAATATACATATACGTAGAGAGAAGACAATATACAGAACAAGCATGTGTATTGCTCTATATCATGCATGTTAATTGCCTACTCCTGTAAAATAAAGAGGTCCAGGCAAAGAAAACGTGAATTCTACATGCAGCCAATGCTCCTGTGTGCTCAAACATTCACGAAGAGGAACTAGCCCTCTCTCTCAAAGGATAAGAGGTTTAGAATAGTCATCAAAGGTAACAGCACCATCCCAGCGCCCCTGCTCTGCCACCACCACTCCTACACCTCACCTGACTCTTAGCACCACCCACCTCCACCTTCAGCTGCTGGATGGCCTGGTTAAGCCTGTTCAGGGCCTCCTTGCTGTGCCTCCGGCTCTGCATGTGTTTCTGCACAACAGCCTTCATCTCCTCGCTGGGATGGGGAAAAAGAAAAGAGCAGGAGTCAGGGATGGAGAGGACAAAGACAAAATAGCCCCAATGCCCGCTCAGCCACCTCCTCTTCCAGGACAAATCATCTTCTCTGGGCCTCCATATCTCCATCTGTGAAATTCAAATGGCCATCTTTGCCAACCCTTGTTGGGAGAGTGTGATATGTTCCATGGGCTAGACCCACAGATGCCAAAGGGAGCCTGCACTCAGGTATGCAGGGTGTCAGTCTGTTACTGGGCGTTAAGGGTGAGGCCACCCAGGAATCATCCCAGGAGCAGAAAGAATTAAGCTCTGTGAAATCAATCATTGTAACTTACCACATAGGACCATGGAGACTGATATGAAAAGTATTTAGGAAAAGCCAATGTAATTCTTAATGTTTAAAACTGCACATTCCTGTAGTCCCAGCACTCGGGAAACAGAGATAGGAGGAGCTCTGTGAGATCAAGGCCAGCCTGGTCTACGAAGGGAGTTCCAGGCCAGTTGGGGCTAGAGGGAGACCCTGTCTCAAAAAACAAAACAAACAACAACAAAAAAAAAACTTTAAATTTTATTATGCACGCACATGTGTGTGTGTGTGTCTGTGTGTGTCTGTGTGTGTGTGTGTGTGTGTGTGTGTGTGTGTGTGTGTGTGTACCATGGTGGGCATGTGGAGATCAGAGGATAACTTGCAAGAGTCAGTTCTCTCCTTCCACCATGTGGCTCCTAGGCATTAAACTCCAGCCGTGAGTCTGGCATCAAGCGCTTTTATCCACTAAGCCACCTTGCCAGCCCAAAAACACTTTTTTAAAAAAATGTGGTGTCTCAAAATGTACCCGAGGCTGACCCCAAACCCAAGATTTCCCCACTTCAGTTTCCTAAGTGCTGGGATTCCAGGAGTGGACCATATCTGGTTGAAAATAGTTTTCTAAAATCTAGGCATAGGAAGCTGGGGTGTAGTCTAGGGTTGGATGCTCACTGAGGGCACCAGTCAGCACTAAGCCAGACTGAGTTTGAGGGGATTTGTGCGTGCGTTTATGAGCATATGTGTGTAGCTGTTTGAGCATGTATATGTGCAGGTATGTGTGGAGGCCAGAGGCCAGAGGTCGACCTTCAGTCTTGTTCTACAGGACAGCTGTCCACTTTGGTTTTATGTGGGGTTTGTATTGTTTGTTGTTGTTTTCCTACCTTGCGTTTTGAGATAGGGTCTCTTACTGGGATGTAGGGTTTGCCAATTAGGCTAGGCTGGCTGACCAACAAGCCCCAGGAATCTTCCTTTTTCTACCTCCCC